AGATGTTTTTAATCATGGGCAACTTTATGTTGCTTTTTCAAGAGTACGTTCTTGGGAAGCATTAAAAGTTTATCTAGGTAGTCAACGTGATAATAAACAAATTAAAAATTATGTATATAAAGAAATATATAAATAATTCCTTTTACTCTTTAAATTAATGATAAAATTAAGTTTATTGAAAAACATTCAAAAATGGGGAAACCACTATAAAAAAAACGCATCATACTATCTACCGCAAGGTGATGTGGAAATAATAGTGTTTTCTTGATACTGTCATTTTCTTGATATAGAAAAGAAAATTATTTTTTAATATATGATTTGGTATATCATTTTGACTACTTATGTATATATTTTTGTCAAATGCTGATAGCGCGCGCGTAGCGCGCGCCTGTATTGTTCCTAGTATATATAAATTTATTATAATAATAATATCGGTATATACGAAAAGTTTCGACTTCACAGAGTCCTCAACAGCCGCAACCGAATTCTTAAAAATTAATTTTAATATATTGCGAAGAATATCACAAGTTGGCGTTTCGTCCCGGCTTCCACTACTGGACTCATCAGTAAGGTAACGTAGTGGAAGCCTACCTTAGACGCCTGTTTTAGTTCTTAAATCGAGATTCTATATATACAGATATGCGCGTATTTCAGCACTTGCGAAAAACTTTACGAATATCCATAGACCTCTGATGGCGAGTCGACGTAGTAATATTCTTCGTAATATTTTTAAGTAATATACGTTAAAAAGTTCCCCTAAATTGCGCGCCGAACACAGTCGGTCTTTAAAACGCAACTCTAATAATTTGAAATAACATCCCCTTAATTAATGGCGTCTAAAGTAGGCTTCCACTACGTTACCTTACTGGTGAGTCCAGTAGTGGAAGCCGGGACGAAACGCCAACTTGTGATATTCTTCGCAATATATTAAAATTAATTTTTAAGAATTCGGTTGCGGCTGTTGAGGACTCTGTGAAGTCGAAACTTTCCGTATATACCGATATTATTATTATAATAAATTTATATATATATTTTTAACAACTCTAGTATAGCTCAAATTTGTTCTTGACCGGGAAGGTATATTAAGTTTAATTAAGGAATTAATTACATAACTGGTATTTAGCCCTTCATTTTTTAATATAGGAACAAATTGTATATTATATGCCATCGAGTTAATGAATAATAAATAAAAATATGTTGTTCTACAGTCGACGCGTTAATTAATATTTATAATTATATTTTTAAATCATTTTTTAATATTTGTGATATATTTGTACGCTAAAAAGTAAATGATATCCGAACAAAGTTATATCATAAAAATGAAAAGGTCAAGCCATGTTCAAAGAAGAATCCTCTCAAAAATTTAGACCTTTAAATCTTTAAATGATCATCTGATTAAAAAATGATCCCCAATAATTCAAACCTTTAACACTTTAAATGATATTATCTAATATGCGACAAATGAGAAAGATGGCGAGCGTCCACGTCAATTTATGTAATTTTTTCTCTCTCTGTTTTTTTATGTAATTATTTTTCATCTGTTTCTTATTTGTTATAATTTTCCGTATATGCGTCTTTTTAATTCTTAATCGTTTAATTTATACATAAGCATTGATAATGATCCGACAGGGATCGAAACGTATGTTTTTATTATGTTTTATTTTGTTTCACATTATGTTTTCAATGTTTCAATTTGTTTTTCTTATAATATGTTATTAAATTCGTTATATTTAAATTGAATGTTTTATTTTCATGGCTCGTAGTCCTGTTACGTTTTGATATTTTTGATATTATTTAATATAATATTACCACGAAAAGTAACTGATATATTACTAAATGTGCCAGTTCAAAGTGAACATACATATAACGTATGTTTTCTATGTTGAATATGTACCACGAAAAGTAACTGATAGATTATTCAAGGTGCAAATTCAAATTGAACATACATACATATAAGTAAAACAGATTACAATTTGCATATTACAGTTTTCTAGGAAATAACTGCAATATGTTATTCTTAGTGCACAAAATATAAAAGTTGGTTATTGAGATTTAATTTGAAATTTATACTAGACCGTATAATAAAAAATAATTGCTTGTAATTTCAGAATATCAATTTGTTAATGACTCAAACTTTGATGAGTTTCTCGATGTCTACTTAGAAGTAATGTCGAAACTTTTACAGAGTAGGTATAACAACACATGAAATATAAAAAGTATTGAATTAGAATCGTATCTTTAAAAGCTCTATAACGAAGTGAATACACAGAATTATGTAGAAATGTAGAATTTTTTTTCTTTAATTTTCAATTCTCTCTCTGCCAATCAATGGTTAATGCGAATATTTAAATTAATCATTATCGAAACACTGTTACATTTTGTACTTGCACTTTGTGAACCAACTGACAAACAACATACTTGATAACTATCATATGATAGTTATACTTGATAGGCTGCTTTAATCTAAACCATTTTCATAACTTTTACTTCAACTATTTGTTTCATCCATCGTAGAGTCCTAGATATCAGAGAAGCGCAACCGGCTTAAGTCAGTATCGTAAAATTACTAAAAACAGTATTAAAAATGGCGTCGTTTGTAGACGAACTATGAAATCCACCAATCGTCTATTAGTCAGCCATTTTTAATACCAATGAATGAATGTCATGATTGGCTGACAATCATCAGCCAATCAGGACGCGGAACATCGGTTGCGCTTCTCTGATATCTAGGACTTTAATCCATCGGAAGTTTTTTGAGAGCAGGCCGCCATGTTCTTTTTTGAGTCATTAACAAATTGATACTCTGAAATTACAAGCAATTATTTTTTATTATACGGTCTAGTATAAATTTCAGATCAAATCTCAATAACCAACTTTTATATTTTGTGCACTAAGAATAACATATTGCAGTTATTTTCTAGAAAACTGTAATATGCAAATTGTAATCTGTTTTACTTATATGTATGTATGTTCAATTTGAATTTGCACCTTGAATAATCTATCAGTTACTTTTCGTGGTATGTACATATTCAACATAGAAAATATTCCATAATGTAAGCAGAATATGGAAGACTGCCCTCTAGACAGGCCAAAGAAGTACTCCTTCCCCTACTCCCCAACATACATCCCCTCCTCCCAACAGCGTCTACATCATGGCCGGTATTCATAGTCGGTTCTTATTTCAAGAATGTCTTAAGTAATGTCTTAAGATGCTAAAGCGGCCCTCTGATTGGTTCGTAACTCCTCAAGACTGAACTTAAGACGGTCTTGAATATAAGAACTGACTATGAATACCGGCCATAGAGATAGTAGTACTAGAGTACGCATTGTAGGAGTGGGGGTAATCCTATCTAAAAAAGGACGCACTCATTTGGGCCTTTCGTTCTCTCTCGTTTCGCGTATGCATATAGCCATATATTCTGAGAGAGGGGATCGAAAAAAAGAACGAGTCGAACGAGAAAAGTTTCATCATTACATGACCGGACAAGCCTGATTAAGCCTGATCACTTTGGAATCAAACAAAGAATTGAGTTTGATAAGGTTAAGGGCTCTCGATGAATAATATCAATAAATATTAATGATAAAAATCTATTATTTATACCTCTATAATTCCAGTTATGCGAGCATATTGGCCAGCACCACCAGATTGTTTCTTATAAAGATAGTCAAATTCACATAGTTTAGTTATGTCTCGCGGAAAGAAACTTTTGGCTTTAAATAGAAATGTATATTTTTTATTACAGGATTTTATTCTACGTAAAAAAACAAGTAACTTCTGTAGGAAACATTTTTTTGTTCGATCACTATTTTAGGAGATATTTAAGAAAATAGTAAGGCATTGTTACTGCATAAAATATCATCATTTATTATAACAAATGTTCAAAATGTTCTCCGTTTGATAAACAATAATAAAGGCGATTTGGAACTCTGAATGAATATTTGGAAAGTATTTGTTGGAATAGCTTTACATTCTTGTACAATTTTTTGACGTAAATCGTTGATATTTTCCGGTGGAGTTTTTGAGTCGAACTAAATGGCAACCTTTATTCAAATTTACTAGACAACGTTATTGATGCACTTATACTTGAAAGTCTTGAAAATCAAAAAGATGAAAATGGCGAATTGTTGTTAAATAAGGAACTTTTGTGCTTCCAAAAAGATGGTGCTCCCCCACATTATGTGTTACCAATTCGACAGTGGCTAAACAATTGACTTCCATAGAGATGGATTGGTAGAAGAGGAGCCATCGAATGGCCACCAAGATCTCCTGATCTAACTCCACTCGATTTTTTCTTATGGGGACACTTAAAATCCATTGTTTATAAAACTCCACCGGAAAATATCAACGATTTACGCCAAAGAATTATACAGAAATGTAGAGCTATTCCAACAAATACTTTCCAAAATGTTCATTCAGAATTCCAGAACGGCCTTTATTATTTGTTTAGCAAACAACGGAGAACATTTTGAACATTCGTTATAATAAATAATGAAATTTTATGCTGTAACTATGCCTTGATATTTTCTTAAATATCTCTAAAATAGTGATCGAACAAAAAAATGTTTTCCTACAGAAGTTACTCATTTTTTTACGTAAAATAAGATCCTGTAATAAAAAATATAGATTTCCATTTAAAAAAATTAATTTTACCTCCAAATTACGTTGAGAACGCCCTTCAAATAAAAAATTGAGAATGCCATTCTCTTTCCCCCTCGAAATCATGAAATACGTGTTTTAACTTGTTTTTGTATCTTTTATATTTTTCGAGATAATCAGCTGGAAAGTTTTCAAATAAACACCCTGTACATTTTGCAAGAACTTCATTTTTTTTTTCTTGTCAGTTTACCCGTGCGAACTTCTACCTCCACACATGGTGAAATCCCAAGTCGACGCCCTTGTGTACTGTCTTTCAGTTTTTGAAAATGGCCGGAGACACTACCGCGTCTCCTGATGTACTGTGATTGGATGCTTTGGTTAGCTACGCTATCGCCATGTTGTCATGTCAAAATTCAGGTTTCAATAAATATTTAAGTGCTTCATTTTCTTCTTTTATCGCCTTATTATATGTATATACAAACTAAAAATATTAGTTTTAAATATTAGTTTTAAACATATAGAAAGAATCTTGACGTCGCACTGCCACGCTTGGCTTTCCAAAGAAAGTACCCTGGCATCGCCAGGTCCCGCCAGGGCTCAACTACACCACTGATTTTTATATCTATTTATATACGACGGATTTAATGTGTACCAGTTCACACTGAATGTAATCTGTCAAATTCGGTAATAGAGACAAAATTCAATTTTAACTTCTAGTTTTCCTCTTTAAAATGTATCTTTAAAAGTCTCTCTACAATTTTTTCACTGAGTTACTCAAGTTTTTGTAAAATGTGAGAAAATTTCAAGTGTTTCCAAATTTATGAACGGTAGTGTAACTAATGACTTATACTTACGTCTGATGGTTCTTCGTTATCTTGTGTTTCTGAAGATTTAGTCTGAAATGCTACATTTCTGTCATCGTCGATATCTTCATCTTCATCTTCATCTTCAAAGTCTTCCACATTGTTATCTTCATCATCATCAGTATCATCCGGTTCCTCAATATTATTATCATCGTCATCAGCATAATCATCGTTAACATCATTGTCTGACTGCATGTTATCCATTTCATCATAATCTACGGGTTCCTCTTTGATTTGTATAAGCATCGTCGTTTCCTCGGTAATGTCTGTCTCGGTTGGACATGATGGGGGTGCTTCTGATGCTGAAGGTATTTGAAGGGACTGTAACGACTACAGAAAAATAAAAGTATTGTTAGGTTTTTAAAAAAAGTATGATATACTATACAAAACTGTATAGTTTTGGAGCTTGTAATATCTCAAATACCTCAAAATATTTTAAAATTTTATATAATATTATAAAGTAGGAATGTGCATTAGATATCTGGTATTTTTTACTATTCGGCCAGATATTGTTGGTAATACTTATATCTGAATGAAATTTTATGTTAATAATTTACGCTTTACAATTTTATTCTTTTTAACACAGTTCATCTCTCTCTTTTTTTTCTTTATCTTCACATTGAAACGAAATTTATTATCGCAATTTTTCTCTTACTGCCCTATGTTTTCGAGATATTTAGTATTCAGTCAGATAATTGCTGATGGGGTAATTATATTAGATATCCGAAAACAATATGATGCCAGGAATATCTGACAATCGGCGGTATTCAGTAATTTTACAATCCCTATCACAAAGTTTATATATATATATATATATTAGGGTGTCCGTTATTTCCCAAATTTCAAAAATCAGTTTGTTCGCCCCCTAGATCTCTTCTTTGGCACCAAAAATTAATGTAGAAACTCAATATAGTCCGATAAATTAAAATTAAGCCGTGCCACCGAGCACTTCTTTTTTTCCATACAAATAACATGGGGATTTTGCATTTTATCGGCATTTAATTCTCTACGATGACTCTGTCCGTATAAAAAGTCATACCCAACGGAAAATTACTTCAATACGGTGTACTTACAATGAAAAAATTTGGCAGAACTCTAAAAAATTTTTTTGCACTGCGGGTAAGCCTCCAATTAATACGTTTATTTGACATATTTTCATTGAATTTGATTATTTTTTAACAGTTTTTTTTTATACAACCACTGGATTTATGTACCAAATATCAAAACAGTATGTAGTTAATTCATATTTATAGTGTAGTTGCACTAAAAAATTTTTCAGTGCTATAAAAAACTTTTCATAAAAATTGTTTTATGTGTAATGAATGAAAGTATTTCAATAAATAAGTTTAAAAAAAATTGAAAAATAACAACTAACTATTACTTACTTACTATTTTATTGTTGTAAAGAGATATTCAGCCTGTTGATTCCTCTTACTAATAAATAAATAACAAATAAATCGTTATAAATTATATTTATTACTTTTTATTCTTTACACTTACAAAAATATATCGCTCACATCTTCAAGTGAAAAACTTTTCCATTTTGTCGTGTCCTTTTATGTGAAAATTGATTGTTTTTACGTAAAAAATGTATTTTAATAAATTTGCATTTATTTGTAAGTATATTATATAAAACAATCAATTTTCGTAAAAATCGTAAAAACAATCAATTTTCACATAAAAAGACACGACAAAAATGAAAAGTTTTTCACTTGAAGATGTGAGCGATATATTTTTGTAAGTGTAAAGAATAAAAAGTAATAAATATAATTTATAACGATTTATTAGTTATTTATTTATTAGTAAGAGGAATCAACAGGCTGAATATTTCTTTACAACAATAAAATAGTAAGTAAGTAATAGTTAGTTGTTATTTTTCAATTTTTTAAAACTTATTTATTGAAATACTTTCATTCATTACACATAAAACAATTTTTATGAAAAGTTTTTTATGGCACTGAAAAATTTTTTAGTGCAACTACACTATAAATATGAATTAACTACATACTGTTTTGATATTTGGTACATAAATCCAGTGGTTGTATAAAATAGTTAGTTGTTATTTTTCAATTTTTTTAAACTTATTTATTGAAATACTTTCATTCATTACACATAAAACAATTTTTATGAAAAGTTTTTTATAGCACTGAAAAATTTTTTAGTGCAACTACACTATAAATATGAATTAACTACATACTGTTTTGATATTTGGTACATAAATCCAGTGGTTGTAAAAAAAAAAAACTGTTAAAAAATAATCAAATTCAATGAAAATATGTCAAATAAACGTATTAATTGGAGGCTTACCCGCAGTGCAAAAAAATTTTTTAGAGTTCTGCCAAATTTTTTCATTGTAAGTACACCGTATTGAAGTAATTTTCCGTTGGGTATGACTTTTTATACGGACAGAGTCATCGTAGAGAATTAAATGCCGATAAAATGCAAAATCCCCATGTTATTTGTATGGAAAAAAAGAAGTGCTCGATGGCACGGTTTAATTTTAATTTATCGGACTATATTGAGTTTCTACATTAATTTTTGATGCCAAAGAAGAGATCTAGGGGGCGAACAAACTGATTTTTGAAATTTGGGAAATAACGGACACCCTAATATATATGTATGTATGTATACATATGTTTTTTGAGCAAATATAATGATTATTAAATATATAAAATTTTCTTTGATCTCCGTTAGGAATTTTTATCATATGGTATGTGCAATTGCACATAACAATATACAATATAATGATATCGATCTATTACCCAAAGTTGTTGTTGCTTTTCTAGTGTCATCTTAGCAGACATGTCGATGTCAGACGGAATAGATAACTCAGATAAGTGAGAGCTTATATTTTTTTGAACGTGCAATGCTGGTTTTCTTTGTGCTTTATTGGAATTATCTTGCAATGCGTTTTTGATACTGTCCCTATTTTTATTTGTTGATTTGTTCGCGCAATTACTTCTATCTACTTTTGTTTCATCAGTGTTACTTTCTTCTTCTTTCAACTCATTAATATTGATATCAAGTTCAATGTGATTCACGTTCCGTTCCTTTTCCAATTGAGTAGCATTATTTGGTTCTTCTTTAACTTTTTTAACGTCAGACTTAGGTTCTTCAGAAAGACAAGTATTACCTCTCTTTCGTCTAAATCTAACATTGATATTCCTCTTGTCCCACATTAAACCATATGCTTGTTTGTAATCCGATATTGCATCCTCTACGCTATTATATCTCATTAAAATATTTCTGTAATAAAACATCAGAATAATATTACAGTGCAAAATCATAAAAACCTAATAATCCTACTTCAACTACATATTTGTACAGTAAATAGTTAGCAGAAGCGTCGAGTGATTCACCACTCAGGTGCGATTGACTCGCGATCTGTAGATCCGAGTTCAATCCCAACTACGCTCACATGCAATTTCTCGTGTGTAAGGAGCTAAAAAATTGATCTATCTGGTGATTAAAGAGATCTATAATCACCAGCGCCGTTTGGACCTGGCGTTTGTGGGTCCTTTATATGAAAGTATACGGAAGAAGGCAACGAGAAACTACTTCGGTTTATTTAATTCCCAGGAATTATATCACTATGGCGAGGAAATCGTGGCCAAAATGATCGTCAACGTCCGGGGAACCGAATAAGGCACATGAAGAAGAAGAAATAGTTAACACACGATATTTATTAACTTACCGCATATTCTTCATCTTTCGTGTTTCTTCATCTTGTGCTTTTGGAAATTTACTTTTTATTTCGCTTGTTTTAACAGATTCAGGCAAGTTTCCTATAAATAAAGTATAGGGATCTATCTCTTCAGGATTATCCTCGTCTCTTAACATCTTTTTCTCGACTTTCAAATATCCAAGACCGAATTTAATTTTCTCCAATTCTTTTATAGCCTCATCAATATTTACATCTTCTGCCATCTGAATGAAACAATATCTCGGCCCACATGGATTTTGAAAATGTATATTCAATATATCAGAATGAAATTTGCTAACGATATCCTTATCTAGATCCGTGTCAGGAAATTTAATTATTAAGCTCTGTGCATTAACTTTATTCTTCATATTGTATTCACTTTCAATTTTTAAAGCCCTTTCTGCATCTTCTCTATTCCATGGTTTATTTACATAACTTTGAGACATTGGCTTCCTTTGTTTACTTTTCTTTACTACCTTTTCCTGAAAAATTTAGTTGTATCAGCTAACTGTGCAACAAACGTATTATTTAAAAATATTTGTTCTTCAAACTGTTTAAAATATGTTCTCTCCAGTACAATTTTCACATCCTGATCCTCAGTCTCCTCGTTATGCCTATTGCTCACGATTCCTGGTGGGATGGGAGATATGGAATGGGAAGCTAGAGGAACAGTCATGTGGTTTCTTATATCATCACTCGCTGCTGCATTATAAATATCTCTTTGCCATTGTAATCCTGCAAGATTATCTGTCAAAGTTGCAGCACCAAAATATACAGCTTGATCAAATTGACTTTGTGGCTGTCCAAACCGTATTACTCGTCTATTTTTACGGTGAAAATTATTTCTCTGAATATACATACTGTTCCTATTGTGAGTGAACCTTTCGCGATGTACATAGTTACCCCTTAGTGGAATCTCTCTGGGAATTGTACTAGCAATATCATGCGGAGGAGTTGAAGGAGTTGGCAAAGGAGATGTTTGTGGTGTTATCCATTGCCAAGGAGTACGTGTGTGTGTCCATTGAATGGGAGTCATTTGGGAAGGCACTGGTCTAAATACATGTGATGGAGGTGGAACTCCACTGGACGGCGTCAGCGGAGGCATAGGAGGCAGAGGTGGTTGTCCAGGCAAAGGTTGAGTGATAGTAGAGGATGTAGTAGACGATGATGACGATGATGAATAATTAGCATACGAAGAAGCATCATATCCAAAGTTGACTGACTCTTGTTTAAAAAGAGCCCGTTTGGCTTCACTGTTTTCCTCAGATATCTGAAAGTCAAGAAAGTTTGAATTAAAAGTGAATTCGAAGTGCGCGAACTGCGATTTATAAATCTTACGACATATACGATCGCGCACTGCTTCGTCGAAACTAGTTTCGAGAAATTCATTTACGTGAGCATTTGAGCAACGTTGGTACATCGCATATGTAAATATCATTGAGTATGGACAAATAACCTAACCTAGAGTAAAGTAGAATTATCGAAAAAAAAAAAAAAATGTGCAACACGCTTCATTGTCGGTTGTCGCACTAAAAACAGAAAAGAGGAAATAGCTCTTTAACATAAACATATAACATTACCGCACGTTTCATACTGCCAGATTCAATGTGATTCGCCTTACGAGATAGTAGCATTTCCTAAATTAAAACGTAAACACATTGTGCCGCGAGCATGAATGACAAGAGCATGGTATAATAAGAGAGGTATAGCAAGGCGCATGCAGGGGAAGGGGGAACATTGATTGACCAATCACAACGCTGTAAGTTTTTGAGGCGCCAATTCAAATGTCTGTATGTAGTACTCAGGTAGATGGAAACAAATAAATCTTATTACAAATAGCCTTGAATTATTTAACACAAATTCCGTTAATAATAATGTTGGTCTCAAAAAGTTTTTTACTGTTCCTTTTGTAAAATCAATTTCAGAAAAATTTGCACCTATTGCTAATTCTGTCAACTGCAAACTCGCGTACACTATTCCTAATACACTTAAAAGTTATATTAAGAGAGGTAAAGACAAACTGGAACATACGCAAAACCGTAATGTTGTATATAAAATTTCGTGTAGTGATTGTGATGCTAGTTATGTTGGGCAGACTAAGAGGTAATTAAAAACTAGACTTAATGAACACATTTCGGATATTAATAAATTATCAAAGTCTCCATCTGTTGTTACTAACCATCGAATAGACAATAATCATAATTTTAATTGGAATAATGTGGAAGTATTAGATGTGGAACCTTCCTATAAAAAGAGGTTGATATCCGAGATGGTTTATATTAAAAAACAGACACATGGCATAAATAAACAAAACGATACGGAGTCATTGCCCGATATGTATGTACAACAAATACGATACAGTCCTTCTCTACCTCTTAGACTGTTCTCAGTTGGTTTTTGCCTCTTATTAAGAATGTATTTCTTCATTGCGTTTCTCGACAGTAACGTAATTAAGTCGATAAAGCTGTAATTTGGATTGTATCTGAACTGTTATAACAATTTACCATTGACAATATTGCATATTTCACAATATGGATTTTTACATTATTGACATTAGTTATTACATAATTTTTAATAAGGTAACTATCGCTTAACACTTGTTTAACGGATTCTGATGACAAATTATATAAATTTTTATTAGATTGATTTTATTGTATTGGATTGACTTTTGCAAAATGGACTACAATTTCAATATGCGAACAATATCCTGACATGATTATCGACACAGAAATTTTATAATTTATTTATTTTTGTTACATTGAAGATGACCCGATCGGAGTCGAAACGTCTGTATTAACGTTTAAATATTATATTATACTTAATTTGATATATTTGTCTTGCGTTTTGTATTTGGCTCATTGCCCTTATTATTATTCATATATTGTTTTATACTTATTGGGCCTTATTTTATATTATTTATTGAATTATTTAATTATTTAGTTAATATGTCAAAATTGAAGAAATAATATATATATATATATGTAAGTGCATGTGTGTATGTGCATAGAGTATACGCTATTTCGTTTCAACAAAATTACTGGATACTCTCCAACTATCCTTTTACTGCAGAGATAAGTTATCTTGATAAAAAAGTTATTGGTACGCGTTAGAAGAAATAAAATACTTAGAGAAACATGAAAAATGACGTTTTTCACAAAAAATCATAACTCAGTCAATTTTCAATACTTTTATCTAAAAATTGAACCTGTACCTCTTGAAATATGGATCTTTAAGATAAAAAATACTGTAATAGTGCAACTTTTAAAAAGGTATTTATTTGGGAATCTGAAATGGGGTCTTCCAGTACCCCGGGGGCGCTTTAAGGGTTAACAATAAATTCTGAAATAAATGTAATTTCTATATATACATATATATTCAAAAGTATATATATAAGTATATATCATTAATTACATTATTAAAATACAAAATCTCTTATAATTATGTATGTACATATGAATAAAAATGCACAATATTTGAGGTTAGAATACAGGTCTTTGATCATAGACTTATAAGATAGACGGAGCGTTCATACGTGAGAAGTTGAAGACAACATTGAAGGACAGCTCTACTCCAGACATAGTTGTGTTTCTCTCTTTCACAGTGAGCGGTGGGGGATCAATTAGCTTGAGCGTATTGCGTAATATGTCACAACTTTTGGTTTGTGTGCTAAGAGGTTATAAATTCGAGTGTGTGTTTTGCAAAGATATAATATTTTTTAATTATTATTCGAAAATAGAAATACAGCAACAGTTTACGCTGAAGGTTAATTTTTTGAAAATATGTAAATTATAATAAAATAAATTCTATAGAAGTATTAAATGACCTACTCAGAGGTGTACAATTTTTACTGTTTTGTATGAGAAAATAAAGATTCATAATAATAATAACCATTTAATTATTATATATACACGCTTATATATTACATACACACTCAGAAATATGTAATAAACTTTAATGTAATTTGGATATGTATAAAATTTTTATATAAAAATAATAAGGTATGTATAATAGAAAGTATTAAAAAGGTATAGAAGTATTAAAGCTGAAGTTGAACTTCCAAAGTATAGGAAATATAGGAAGTATAGGAAAGTATAGGAAAAAAAGTATAGGAAGACAAAGAAAATACTGTACGATATGTAATGTATATTATAATATTTCCACAGTTTTTCGTGTATGTTTCTTTTCAAGAGCAGGAATTGGAAAGAAACATCTCATCGAATACCATGTTCTGACTTGCAAATGCAGCAAGACCGCACCATTATAAAATTGCAACTTTTAATTTGTAAATTAATGTATGTACAATAATCCGCTGCAATCCGTCGAAGCTCTCGTTATCATTCTCAGTCAACTTAATACTCTCGGATATCTATCTTCGTTGCTCTTGGCTACTCCCCGAAAAGAAACATCTCATCGAATACCAAGTTCTGACTTGCAAATGCAGCAAGACCGCATCATTATAAAGCGGGGAGCACAGACTTCTGCATAACGCATAAAGCATGTGCATAAGGAATTTCATTGGTCCATTTTCTTATGCATGAGTCAATGGACCAATCAAATTCTTTATGTATATGGTTTATGCGTTATGCAAAAGTCTGTGCTCCCCGCTTTACGAACCAATCAGAGGGCCGCTTTAGCATCTTAAGACATTACTTAAGACAGTCTTCAAATAAGAACTGACTATGGGTGCGTTCCACCTAACGTTCACACGCTCACGCTCTTAACGCTGCAATCGTCTGTTCCACTAGTTGCCACTAGTGTGAGTGTAACAGGTAAGTGGAACGATTATCTTGAGCGTTATGACGCTTATGATGCGCGTTATTGCAATGTGACGACGCCGTAGACGCAGGCGAGCATTGCATAACCCGTTCGTTTTTATATTTTTGTACGGTTTTGTAGCCATTTTTCACAAGGCAATAAAAAATGTAGACGTGATCTGGCCGTATCGACCTCCTATTGCATTGTTTGAAGGCGTTAATTAAATAAGAAGAAGAAGATGGTCGAAAACATTGCTGTTTGTGCAACATTATTGTTGAAAGATATAAGTTCGGAAAGTGATTCGAGTTCTGATGAAGAATGGGATTTATTAAGAAAGGAAAAACGGAAACGCATCTTACGTCCTCGTATACAAAATGTGGAACTTGTAATTGAAATGTATTCAAACGAAGGGTAATTATACAGAATCACTGTCTCACCTTAAAAAATCGATCAAATTAGGCTTATTCGACGCGTTTTTGCATGAAACGAAAGAATCTGGCAGAAAAAAGTGTCGCTCTGCCCTACGAACAGAGATATTTAACGTTAAAGTTGACAACTATTTAGGTTAGGAAATCTGTCACAGTCACACACACACACACACACGGGTGGGTGCAAGGGGGTGGCCTTCGGCAGAGGTCTGCCCCGACAGTATAGTCGTAGAAGTC